GTGGAAAATCAAGGTTGCACAGGATAGCAGACCCACTATCCAACTTCCTCAGCCAACACATCTAGGGAAAGGTACAGGAGCAGAGCTCCGCCCACCTCATGCCCACTTCTGCAGCAGCAAAAGCAACAGCACTGTGAGAACAGATGCAGAAGGAAAATGTTCTTACTCCTGTCCAGCAGCCTGAGAGATGAGGTTTCAAATTTAATCTGTTGTCTAATAGCCAGAGGCTGATACAAAAGATGGAGCCTTCAGCAGATTACAGGGACAGCATCTTGGTGAGAATTTCCCAACACCTGGGAAGGGAGGAGTTGACCATCTTATTTGGGCATTGTCCTTGGACTCTTCCATTTGCAGTCTTTGCCTGGTACGTTTAGGCATCTAGCTATCAGGTATCTGGTAAAATTTGTAAGCATTGCGTGAGAGGACTATGTTAGAAAAGCAGTGCAGAGTTCTGAGACTACAGCTTGGTCTACGTGTTTAAATTCACCTGTTTAAATTCAATCTGTTTTTAAACCCATTTAGTTACACTAGGGCAAGCCCTTGTGGTGGGCACTCTTGTTTCTGTTGCCAGTCAACTGAAGCTAAACCAAAAAAAACCCATCACTGTTAAACTGAAATAAATGTGGTAACATAGGCCTTGTGTAACGCCAACAGACCCCAGTCGCTGGTGGGCAGGATTGAACCTGGGACCATGAGCCTCTTCTGCTAGCTCATGCTGTAGCAGACTCAGTCTCTAGCTGGGCTAGGTGCCACTAGACGGGGGACAGAGTGCCACACCAACCATGCATGGGTTACACTTTCACCGGTATAACTAAATCTGTTTAAATTAAGATGTTAGGTTAAACTGGTGCAACTTTCTTTCATAGACAAGCCCTGATTAATTTTGGAATGGAAAGCAGGAGAAGAAAAGAAACAGGAAAATGTGCACTCCAGCTATTCTGGAGCAGCAGAGCAGCTCATCAGCAATCCTGGGAAGTTGCTGAAATTTACAGCATCCTAGGAACTGCTCTAAGTTGTGCCAAGAAATAGCAAGAATCCAGAAAATGCAACAGTGAAACAAAGCCACCCTTCCCCCATTCCCTTTCAGCTGCAGCTTCTGAGTGGCACATCTCAGAATTGCAGGCTCAGGTGCAGCCTTAACTAAGGAGTGGTGACTTCCATTCTAGAATAGCTTTGTGCTATGCACTAAAAAGTTATTCCAGACATGTGTCAAACCTATAAGAAAATCTCAGCAGCATGGATTTACAATGCATTATGTGAAAAAGAACCTTGTAATACTATTCTGAAAATGTATAAAGGTGAGATTTGGCACACTTCTATACCTTGAAGCATGTTTGAGCATTTGACCATGGTTTGAAAAAGAGCTGCCTAGATGCAATGGAGTAAGAAGGACCTTTTAAAGCCCTGCTTTATAGTGTGAAATGCACAAAAGACATTAAATACAACACACTGTATCAAACAGTAAGGTACTGAGTAAAGCCAACAAAAGCAAGAAAATTTGGCATTGAGGTTCTCTGTCTTCAATCTACCTCTGTGTCCTAGTATTACAGTATATCTTGGAATCACTCATCCAAGACTCCTGTCTTTAGACACAAGAGAGGTCTTAAGGATAAAGGCACCTCTGGCACTTAATTTCCTTGCTTTTGTTATTTAAATCTGAATCTTAAGTTTCTTTTAACATAGATTTCTGGGGCCCTATCATGCCATCATTGCACTTGGGGAAATCCTACTCAAGTCAGAGAAGTTCACAGTGTGACATGATTTAGCAGGGTACAGCCTTTACCAAGTACCTTGAATAGAAACCAAAGGGCAACCCTGAGCACTCAAGCAATGTGAATCTCACTTAGGACTTTAGCATGTTTACAAAACAGATGCTGTAGATGTGGCTGTGGGAAGGTTTAAACAGCCAGGGGAAATCCACACTTTTCTTGTTCGTGAATTGAGGTCTACCCACCAGTCAGACATGAGTCTAGCTACAAAGGGCTAGTTTTCTTAAGCTTTTTTTTAATTTGTAATTTTAGTGCATTTCATATTTTGTACTTAAGTAACTTTTTTTACCCAGTGCTACAAATGGAACAAAAGCATATTCCGGTTTGTGTAAAATCAGACAGACCTATGCAGCTCAATGGCTGATGTGCTAATACCTAAAGCCATCACCCTGTCTGTAGCCCTGTACTCCTGACAGAGCTGTAACAAATGGATACATTTAGGCCAGGTAAATGCAGACCAGATTTACTTACTGAGACCCTCAAGTGTCTGCTGAACATTGAATATTCATCAGCTAAAACAATTACACTTAACATGAGCTACATGTTTTAAATGGCATGGAAAGCAGTTTGTACAGTACCATGCTTATAGTTATTGAGCAGCAACTAAACATTATTCTATGATGTATTATCCCCAACAGTTTTTACGAAAATTGTTAATACATTACACAAAACACATTACACAATGGATAAATACCATTCAACCCTTGTATTGCATCCTGTTAAACAGTAATACTTTGTCTTTCATGTAGTACTATCACCTTATTAGCACTAAGGAATTTTACACATCTAATTTATTTTTACCATTTATGCATTTCTGCTTGTACAATGAGTCATTTTTGTTACCATTCCATTTTGCATTATGTGCTGCCGTGATCCTGCAACATTATGGTTGCAAATAAGACAGGCACATTTATGGTCAAATTGAAAAAAAACACTCTTCATTAACATTAAGAAACTTCTTCTGGACATTTTAATGAATAGCAAACCTTTCTAATTTTTTAAACACACTTTTAACCTATATTATGAGCCCAAAACTAACTGACATTGTTTTTTTACCATCTCTGAGAAATTACATTTCCCTCAAATACATAAGAGGTGAAATAGAATTTTGTCACTTATTGCACGCAGAGCAATTGAGGTATAGCATGCATCTGCTGTGTCAGTTTCTGCTGCCAAATCTGTGCTATAAGAAGGTATATGATATTTTCCGCTTCACTATTCTACATGCAACAAAATGCTGCATTCATTTCCTATTAAAAGCTTTCTGTAAAATAAATAAATAAATAAAACCCTCTGTTTTGAGTTCCAATCTATGGTGCTCCTGGAGTCCATGGAATTCTCTGCCGTAGCTCACGAAAACTCATGCTCAAATAAATTGGTTAGTCTCTAAGGTGCCACAAGTACTCCTTTTCTTTTTGCGAATACAGACTAACACGGCTGTTACTCTGAAATCTGCCCATATTGTTCATCTCAAAAATCTGACTCATCTAAAGAGGGATGCCAAGGTCTTTTTCACATATATTGCTGATCTTACACAAGGTGGAAGGTACGTGCCAAAAAGTTGCACTGAGGAAAATGCTGCAATTTCTCTTTAAATATAATACGTATGAGGCACACAGGAATAGAATTATAGATTTCTTCACTGGCCAAAAATATTTTTTCCACGCACTCTCACAGAAATCAAATAATTTTAGACTTTTTTGTTTGTTTTTTTCCTAGTTCTTAACAATGGTCCCTGTGCTGTGGTTGGTCATGTCTACCCTGAAGACTTTATCTATGTAGATATACTTAAGCTGATACCAGAGGAGCAAATTTTCCCAGAGGTTAAATATGCTTGTATCAGATGTTACAGCAGAGGGTAAATATCTCCTTCTGAAAGTCATTTGTAATGTAATGTGCCCAAAATGGGTAACGAGCAAGACACGCTTTGAAAGTAAAAAGTGAAGCACCACTGGCTTATTTCCTTGGAATACCCTTTCTCCCATACCATGCCACCTTTTGGTCTCTGATAGCACTAAAATGAAGGGGATGTAAAACTAGAGAGCCATACTGCTTTGATCAGGGAAGACAGTGACCATACACACATATACATAAAACTATTACAGGGCATCCATGGCATGAACCTCTCCAGATAAGATACCCTTCTCGTAAAAGTCAAATAAAACAACAAAGTTGTGATAAATCCCAGGCATCCAGATACAAATATGAAAAAATACATCTTTACTGAGTTGTAAAAACTCCTTTTACCAAAGTCTTCCAACTACTCAATATACCAAAAAAGCCAAATAAAACTCCAGAACATTTGCAGTATTCTCACATTTGAACAATGCCGGCATTGTACAATATCCGTTAAACTAAGTACCCTTTATGCACAGACAGCCTGCTGAAATATGTATAATAGAAAGGTATCTTATTTAAACCTAAAAAGATTTATTACAGATTTCAACATTGGGAGCTTACAGTCAACATGAAATCTTTTCTTAAAATAAATATGCACCGCAGTTGATAATTTTTCAGCAAGTTTTAAAGATAAAAAGTTGGTTTAGTCAATTATGTTACTGTTTAAGTTTCTTATGGACTCTTCACCACACTAGTCTTAATTTTCTTTAAGACTGCATAAATCACTAATCTCTTATACACTCTAATTTCACTTTCTAAAACTACCAATAGTCTCTCACTCCACTAGGGAATTTCCTTAAAATACCATGTATCAAGACAATACAATCTCTGGCCAATAGACAGAAACTTTAAATGTAATACTTCAGCTTTACTCTAAACCACTTCACTGTAATAAGATGAAAAATGTAAAAAATAAATCTCACACAGTTATTTATCTAAATTTTAGAGCATCGTCACTTTCCTATATCTCAGCACTCAAAAGGTAAGTTAAAATTGTGTACAAGCAGAAACTTCAAAGCGTTAGTACATTTGGAAGTTTATATAACACTGACTTTAAAATACGCAATGAACCTCTACAGAAAAATCTACTGAACCAACTCTACCATTCATACCCATCTCAACGAGACAATTACTACATGTACTTGAAAATCCAAACTTTGTGATACGTTATCAAATGTTCCCTGACAATTGTTCAATTTACCTTACACAATGTTTATATTATAGTTGTCCACTTACAAACATTAAATAACTGCTTGTCTGTTCTGCTGAGCAAACATCTCTACCCGTTTTAATTTCCGATCACTGTCCACAATTTAAAAAGTTGTTACATACCTGCAGTTAGGAGGAGGATCAAGGGTTATTTCAGCTAGCTCCTTCTGAATTCTGTGGGTGAAATGAGAACAGACACAAAGCATTTGAGATAGTCTATAGAATAAATCAGGAATTACACTGCCCTCTACCACCATGCAGTTAAATGCAAGATTGGCTGTGCCTTCAGTAATGCTAACATGGCTGCTTCCTCTTTGTTCTCAGAGGCATAACCCAAATCCCATAACAGAGAAACTTTGCAGCTTTTTTCTTACTTGATACAGTAAATAGGTAGAACATTTACACCTGAGATAGGTAGAAATATCCCACAAGTACTCATAAAAGTAACTATTATCCATATCTAAATGCTTTTTACCAGAGAGATTTTCTTTTCAAGCTTATATGCAAATGAGGGAAGGGGGGGGACTATACAAGCATATTTGACAATGACTTTAAACCAGTGCAACAGAGCTGTAACTGAGGCTGAATTAATAAGCTATATTGTGACTAAGTGGATGTTTTTGACAATATTTTACCTGCTACTTCATACTGTATTTAAATAGTAAATCTATAAATTTCCCAAGCTGCTTTTATTACTGGAATAATTCTTGGAGAACCAACTTTGCTTCTGTACACACACTCCTCTCCCAAGATAAGACAGTATTTTTGCTGTTTTTATATAATATTAGTAAAATAAATTTCTTAATCAGAAATAATCCATGATCGTTTCACTGTCTCCTTTGACAGCAGTTACAGAAGTGCTAATAATATCCAGAATATTTTCTAAACTTTTTGTCAATTAAACAAGTTATCCAGAAAAATATGCTTAGTGTAAAAGGTGTGTATTAAACTACTTCTAAGGACTAAAGAAATTTTGTTTCTTGCTGCTAATTATCTGTAAGCCAAGAGATACTTACTTTTTAGAAAAGTAGGCCCATAAAAATAAGACTGAACAACTGTCAATATGCTATTGATTCCAATTTAAATGAGATAAACAAAACCTGATCCTGAAAGACCTTTCAGGAATAGTCCTATTAAGTTCAATTAGATGACTCAGAACTACTCAAGATATGTGGAATCAGACCCCATCATGATTGAGGAAAATAAAGTCACACTGAAAAATTCAGTGGAGAGATTTTCTGTACAATACATCTCAAGCTTTTCAAAAGGGCTGACAAAAGCATTATCTTAAACATATTATACTACAAGTTATACAAATAATCAAATACTTTAGCTTCTTTACGGAGGGTATGTCCACCTGACAAATGGTATAGCTGTAGTGTGTCAAGCAACATTGCTGTACTGTACACACTTACTACAGCAACAAAAGGGGGTTTTCTGTCACTTATAGTAAATCCACCCCCTCAAGAGGAGATAGCTGGGTCAATGGAGTTCTCCCACTTACCTAGCTGCATCTATAGCGAGGGTTAGGTCAACCTAATTATGTCATATGGTATGAAATGTTTCACAGCCTGGCCCCTGAACAATGTAGCTAGGTTGACCTAAGTTTCAAGTGTAGACCAGGCCTGATTTAAAGTATCTACCTTAGATATTCCTATTTTAGACCTCTATTTCTTTACAAGTACAAAAATCAGTGAAAAATACAGATAGTATTTTACTTATGGCTAACACTTTAACATTTCAAGGAGTATTTACTGAACTGGAATATAGAACTCCTGAGGTCTTTATGAAAGTTTGAGCTACAGTGTCCATGCTGAATAAGCAAAGCACAAAGTTGTTCAATAGAGAACTGACTCTAAAATTAAAAAAATCATTTTTTCACTGTTACTCTTCAGATCTATTTGCTATTGGCCATAATGTAATATGTATTCCAAAGGAAAAGTGAATTTAAGGGAAAGGTTTAGTAAATTGTGTCTTATCTCAAAAGACCACAGCAGATCAAGGGATTTAAAGTCTGCCTGTTTCACATGGCTGAAGTTAAAGAAAATACTTACTGAAAGCCAGTCTGACAGAAATTTTATATGTAAATACAGATATTTATCAAATAGACTACAAGAGGTTTGTGAAGTTTGACACTTAAAAGTAGAGGCTATGTATTAATCTCCAGAGTCTGATTCTGCAGGCCCTATTAAGGCAAATGTCCTATTGAAGTTGGTAGTTTTTCCCAAGTAAGAACTACAGAATAACACATTATATTGCATCCGATGAAGTGAGCTGTAGCTCACGAAAGCTTATGCTCAAATAAATTGGTTAGTCTCTAAGGTGCCACTAGTACTCCTTTTCTTTTTGCGAATATAGACTAACACGGCTGCTACTCTGAAACCTGACATTATATTAGGTTACTGTATATAAAGGATATACTGAATGTTGGCATGAAAAGAAAGTTATAAGTACAATCCCAAACCCATCTATTTTTGCGCCAGTTAAGTTTTTGTAAATATTTTTATATTCAATAGCACTGATTGTCAACAGTACACACAGTCTATTGAAATCCACCAGAAGGATGGTACTCTACACAAATAAAAAAGAAAGGCTAAGCCTTTGAACTCAGATGGAAAAAATGTTTACAGTTCTCATACTACTTGCAAGGATAAAATTCATGTTGGTGAATAAAAGCTTTTAGTAGCCAATATTTTAATTTTTAAAGTTATAAAGTTCTTAAGTGTCTCTTCCAAAGAAATGTGACAAGTTTATTTAATGGTTAGCTTACTAACAGTCTCATTATTGAAGCTATTGATTGACAGCCTCCTAACTCAAAAAAGTTTGTAATTCATTAATGACTCCCTAACACAGCTTTGCAAGAATCCATCTGTCTTAAAAATGCAGTGCAAATATTACAGTTAAAAAAATACAGCGATAGAATGTTTTACAATCACTTCTTATAGTTATTACCTTTTAGCACTAGTGGATAGCTTAGCAGTAGTTTTGCTGGATAGTTTGGTATTTTTCTTCTGCTGGGTTGCAGAAGGTTTTCTTTCTTCTTGCTCTTCAGGTTCTGGTGCTGGCGGGTCCCTCTGATCTGCATCTGAACTACCACTGCTGGTACTTGGACTTTCATCATCTGACCTTTGCCTGTCACTGGACATGGTGGTGAACTTTTGGGGGAGGAAAAGAGAGGGGAGGGGGAAAAAGCAGAGTTTACTGTAGGTTGCAGTTTGACAGTTACAAAGTAATATTTACACTTTTTTCTTTTTAAATATAGATCTCTCCAGGTTTTTTTAAAGCCCATTCACACTTTTCCCCATACCTTAGACAACATATCAATTGTCTGCTTTATGCGAAGCCACGAGACAGGGACTTTAGCAGGGTCCTTCAGGCAATGAAGCATTAATAACTTATGACACATTGTCAGTAACAGACCTCGCTGAAAATGTTTTTTAAAAAGTCACTAATACCCTGTAAATATTTACACTGGAGCAGAGTATTGTATAGGGTCCAAGCAGCCAGACCACCCCCTCTCTCTGAGACAATATATGGCCAATAACACTCCGGCTGATTTCAGATTGAAATTTACACTCACTCTGTCTCTTTGTATTTAAAGGGCCGTGAGGAGGAGGAGTGATTTTTTTTTAAAACACCGTACATTTAAAACAACTCAGAAAGCAGAAGCCTCGGTTATTTACATGGCCAGGAGCAAGAATTGCATTTGGCCACCACAAAGCTCCTGGAGGGGGAAGAAGCATAATTAAAGCTGCACCTTCTGCAAAGCTTTCAACGCCACCGATTCTTGATCAGTTTGTACAAAACAGACCGACATTTTTAGGGGGAAAAATTATATAGATACACGCGGGAGGCACCCAAATGGGGGTGGGGGGTGTGCTGAAAAAGAAAATGAAGCTCCTAGTAGGAAATTGCAGCAGGGTTGAAATGCAGCTTTGCACACACACACTCGCCCCCTTCCTCCCGCCCCCGTTGGCTTTGTGGGGAGAGATCGAGCTTCCAGCGAGGAGGGTACGGAGGGGTTGTTATGGTAGGAGGCTCTCCAGGATCAGCATGGTGTGTGTGCACCAAGTGAGGCGTGAACTCAGTCCCGGCTCCTCTCTCTCCCGGCCACCGACAGGCAGCAAGCGCTGAAAACAAGAACAAAGCTCCCTCTACCAACCTTCCCCCCCCCGCCCCCGCGCCTCCTCCTTCTCCTCCTCCCCCCACCAAGCTCGCCCAGGCTCCTGCTGCAGCCACCTAACCCGCTTCTCCTTTACCTTCGCAGCCGTCCTGTCCCGGTGTTAGGTCGGAGGGGAGGGATGGAGGGGGGGAGGGAAGGGGATACAGTATCGGTGGAGGGGCTGGAGGAAGCCGGGGGGATATAAAGCAGCAGAGGAGGCTCTGTGGCCGGGCAGTGTGGAACATTGAGAGTCGGAGCAGGGGGGAGAGACGGGGGGAGGGTGCAGTGCGGCTCGGTGGCCGGAGGGTGGCGCTGGCGTGCCCCCTTTTTGCAAAGCGGGCTCCCGCGGCGGGGCAGGGGGTAAGAGGGGAGAGAGAGAACGCGATCTTCCCCTCGGGGGAAGGAGGCCGGATGGAACGGGGAAGAGCCGAACGTTCTATCGCCTCCGCCCCCTTGTGTCGCTACGTTCGGATTGAGAATATTGTAATCAGCAAAGTTCCAAACGACATGGGGGCGGGGGAATGGGCGCTCGCTCCCTGGCTGGTAGAGCGCGCCCCCCTCTGGGCTGCGGCGCGCGCACGCTCTCTCGCTCCTCTACCTTTGAAGGGTGCGTGCGTTCTCCGGGCCTGGCCAAGGACAAAGAGTTGGTCCTTGTGCAGCCCCCAAGTTGGCACTGGCAGCCTGGACCTTGCTTGTGTGCCTTACTAGTGGCTGGTCCCGTCCCCCCTTCGCCCATACAGATACCTTTCTCGCAAGCTTGCAACTCCCGAGCAGCCACTACGGGAGGGAGAGCCTGAGATCCTGAAATTACTTCAGTGCCATGCACAAGTGTGCAAAATCTTGCTGGGGCCTCGCCAAAGCAGCGAAACTGACTTGCTCTGTTTTTCCCGGCGTCCCCTCTCTTACTCACTGCTGTTTATAGGGTTGGTCACTGAACCTGCGGTGGAAAGAGGCAGGTCACTCAGGAGTAAATGTATTTATTTGGGCACTGGAATTGGTTGGGTGTGAATAATATAGTGCCTTAACAGACGGCATGTCAAGTCTGAGTGAAAGCTAAATTCTGCCAGGTTTTGTCCCCAGCACCAAATCCCACTGCCTCAACTGGTAACATGTTCAGTCTTTCTTGCTGCAAAATCTGGGCCCTAGTGTGCCCCAGCACAGGAGTGCTGCAAAAATCCAGGTCCTTCTGGATCCAGCCAATTTTTGGGACCCCAGCCCTTAAATTAAAAATGTATAAATAGAGAAGATGTTTCACTGCTCTTACTGCCCCTTAAAATTCCAGACCTAGTAGCCCAGTCCCATAAAAACTCTGATCCGGCAAACAAGGGCCACAAACCCAGAAACTGTGCCATCAAAACAGGCAAGAAGTGCTGCGACCTTTCTACACACCCAAAAAAAAAAAAAAAAAAATCAAATCTATACACCCCAGTACAAGAAAGTTGTAAAAACTCTTATTTGGCACCTGTGTCCTGCTGCATCCAGCCAACTTTTATATCTTTCTTTATATCTAAATTACACAGCTTCTCTTAGTGCACTAGAATAATCCAGGCCTTAAGGTATTGTGGTGCAACAGTGCTGCAAAAAGAGGTGGAGATATGCATTTCACAACTATATAAAACAAGCAGCAACAAAGTTAGCCATATGTATTCAAAATCATATTTCTTCTAAAGTACTGTCACAGCACGCTGATCTGCCATACTCCATAAATGACCAGCCATACAAGCTGTAAAATCTATTTTTTAGGGGGGAGAGGTGTCAAGCATAATGATCACAATATATGCCAACTGGAGGATCATTTTACAGAGAAGCTGGTTTAGGATGGAGAGTCATTTCCTTCCCCTGTCTAGTCATGCAGAGAGTAATTTCTGATGGTTACTATTCCACTATATGATGTAAATAACTAAATGCAATCAACAGCTGGAGTATTTGTATGTGGCAAAAGTGGGGACAGTATGAATCTAGCACAAGAAGGATGAAAAACTGAATATTCCAACGTTGTCCAAGAGATAATCATATTGAAAATTAAATCACCTTGTATTGGAAAATTGATCATAGCCCAACAATATTTGTAAAGAGTAGATAGTAGTTGATGTGGATGGGTGAGATTGGGATGGGAAAGGACTGTTTAAAATAATGTATTACTTGAAATGTTTGTGCAAAGACCAAATACAGCGATTAACAAGAAATCTCCTTTGAAAAATGTTGCCCACAAAACAGTTCACACCTTTAGCCAAATGACTTAAAACTACTGTATTTTCTTAGGATTAATGGGATCCAGGAGCCAGAGTGTGTATTCTGTGATCTAAAAGGAATAAACAATTGGATGTGTCTGAGTTGACAGTCCTCTGGGTAACTGAAGTTAGTACAAATGAAATGTATGCTAAAGGTTTGGTGGAAGTGTGTAGTGATGTGATGTGGAGAAATAGTGGAGGTTTGTTTGTTAAAGTACGCTATGGAGAATTCCCCACTCACCACTACAGGCAATTTGCCCCTGAGGTATGCTGTAGAAAATTCCTAGCATAAACAGTATCTAATATGATGAGCAATCTGGGCATAATTAGTAAAAGAGAGACATGGCAATATCAAAATCTAACAGTCAGCACTACAAGGCTTTTGTTAATATGTGGACGATGCTACGATATGGTGCTTATTAGATTCAGAGAACTTTGAAAGTCAGGATTAAGTATTTTAAATAATATTTTATTATAGGTGAAAATTAACAATACAGCCCAGCTATCCAAAGAAGGATAATTATGAAATGATAATGCAGTGTGAGTGTAATTAAACTGGTCAAAGGTTGCTCAACGTATCAGCCACTACATACTTGTTCTTGTGTGACTTTTAGGACGTAAAATGAAAATAAAAAGAGAGCCCATTTAACAAGGATTAATTGAAAAGACAGACTAGATGTGATTTTCAGCTGTTTGTACCTTCATCTTCAAACAGATTTATTACAGCAACTTGCTGATGTAACAGATGTTTATTTGAATGAATATTCATTCCTTTGACATCAAGACCCAAGGGATGACACTTTCCTCTCAGGAGCTGTGTTTTCCTCTTGTATGTTGGTTATTATTTCTATGTTGTCAGCTGCCTTTTAAAAAGGGATGACATTAAAAAAATATATAAAGTAGGTTATTGAAGTGGTATGATACAGTCAGAGCCAAAGGAGAAAATGCAAATTTTGTTAATAGTAATACAAAAACAACATACTGTGAACTTAGTGACTAATCTTATTCTTCATAATTTGACATCAGCTGGATCACTACTGATGTACCTATTACGTATGTTCTTTTCCATCAACTCATTACAACTATGAGAAAAGAGCTAGCATTGTGAGGTACAATGAGTGTAAAGCTCAACTAAGGACAGTTCAGATTGATCTGAAAAATTCAGGACACTTGCCCGTGAGGGATGCCTGCATTTCCTTTCCACAAACATTGAATATGTGCATTGGGTGCTGTTTCTTTTGATCCTACCATCAAAAGCACTGTGTCTGGGCAAAATAGAGAGGCATCAGGTATGCTCTCATCAACTCCCGTGGATATCCTTTTTAGAAGGTCAGCTTTCTGGACACAGCTCAATGGCTATTGTGACAGAGCACAGATGTGTAGTTGTTATTGGTGCATGTGTTGGGCTACATAGATCTGGGTATCCCTTGTAGGATTAGGAACTCATGACTCAGTCTCCCATCCCCTCAATCTGGCAGATGATGCAGTAGTGGAAAGTAACTAATTGCCTGACTCTTTTGTCCCATTCTGACAGCAGAACCAGCAGGGAAAGCAGGTTCCCCTTCTAGCAGCAGAACTGGGAAGAGAAGGACAACTCATTGCTTGACACCCCCCTCCCCCGCACCACACACACATCCCTAATAGCATAAGGCCCCACCTATGATAACAGAATGCCAGGGTTGTGTCAGTTCACCTTTAGGAACAGCTTAACTGACATGGTCAGTTGTCTTCTCCATTTTCATCAAATGTTCTCATTCCTGGCGGTAAATGACTCTCTGAATAGCAATAAGTATTTCTGCTCTATCTATGCTTCCATACCGCACTCTTGGAATCTGAATACCTGTTGGAATTCTACCGCAGTGCCAGAGCTACAAACGCAATGGTTACAAAGTTAAAGAAATGAATGAAGTATTTTTAGGACAGCGGTTACTATGAGTTAAAAACGGATTGCACTTATATTATTATTTGATATTTGTATTATGGTAGCAACTGAGGCACCAGTCAAGAAGCGGTTGAGTACACAATAATTATAGGATAAGGCCCATAAAATATTTGTATTTAGTGTCAGGTCCTCTGCACTGGTGGAAAGGTCAGCATGGCCTACTCACCCAGCCTACAGAGGAGAAGTAGTATCTGCCTCAAAGAATCGTGATCAGCTTACTTAGCTGAGAAGCACAGGAGGCCTGCAAAAGTTTGAGGAAGCTATAAGAAATGGATTTGAGAGTTAAATTAACCAAAATTAGTCAAAAGTTTGGGAGCAGTGAAATGGTGCTGTAGATGGCAACATGGGCCATCATTAATATTAAGCACATTCTTTGTCACACCACCTGTGTGATGTGAGAATGTAGCTGTCTTTAAATAACTGGTTTAGTACCACTTCTCAGCTTTCTGAGAAAGACTTCATTCAAAAGTGGTTATGATCTGAGAGTGAGGTAGCTCTTCCTACGTATGCTGTATTTTCAAAGGGAAATTTCCATTTGCCTTTGTCTTTCAGATCATGATATAATGAAGTTCTCTATTTCACACTTATTTTGGCCACCATACTCTTTCCAGGCAAGGCATGAACAGGTCTTCCTTTGGAGTCTTTCACGGCACTCTTTAACGGGCTGGATAATTGTCTGAGAGACATGAGGCCAATCCAACCTGTTCAGTGTGGTGTCACCCCAGCACTCTCCGCTAAGTAAATGAGAGAAAACAAATAGAGATCAAACACAAGTCTCCCAAATGACAGTGCTAAATACTATGATCTGCAGCTAAACTTGTCTCTGTGTCCCTGTAATGGAGTGTGTACCCCACATAGGCCCAGAATGGGCTAATGTGGGCTTGAGAGGCCAATTAACTACCAGGCTGCAGCTGGAGGGGGAGCCAGGCTTAATTGACATGAAACCCACTTGAGCAAGAACAGGCTGGTTACAATAAAGAGAGGAAGTTTATAGTACAACAGGCTCATAGGGAGAGAGTCTGCAGTCACTTTCTGGGAATAGAGAGGAAGTGAAAAGGAAGCCCTTTGGGTCAGGGAAGGGGCTTGTACCCTGAGAGTGACTGAAGGGAGAGGGCAGCTGGGGAGAAGAGAAGCTCCAGAGAAGGAGCCCTGAGGGTCATTGGCTTGGGAGGAGCCAGGTCTCTGAGGAGAGTGAGG